TAGACTAGTTTCAATATTTATAATGTAAAATGAACAGAACAGAATTAAGTAATTTTTTCTTAAAAACTATATTTAATTGTATTTTGAAATAGTTTTTGGTCGTTGTTTCTAAATGAAAAATTACAATAAAAAAGTTAGGGTTCTTTAATATGCTTCTTATCTAGTCTTGTATTCAATTTATGAGCTCTATGATGGCTTTCCTTTTCCACTAGACTTATTACACCAGCATTTAGAAACAGGACAAGCTTTAGAAAATCACATTTTTATTTCCTAGAGTATGCATTTCAGACTTTGAGTCCCTTATCAACTCTTTATGATGTAACTGTTTAGGAAATAATGCATACAAGTTAACAAAATTTTTGCAGTGTTACAAAATTTGTAAAAATTTTTAACTTACATGGTTACGAGAAGCACAGAAATGGTGACGATTGATAAAATACGGATGACAATTATTAATTTACAGGCATTTGCTATAACAACAGTAGAATGTTAATGATTTACAAGAATAATATATATAACGTAGATGTAAAAGTTGTGAACTTACATTAGATATGACGTTATGATACATAAAGTAGTATTAGCAGTGAGAGGCAAACAATATACATAATAAAGTACACTGTTAAAAATGTGATTTTCTAAAGCTTGTCCTGTTTCTAAGATGATGGTGTAATAAGTCTAGCAGAAAAGAAAAGCCGTCATAGAACTCATGAATTGAAAAAGTTAGGGATTAAGATTACATGATTTTATTTCTTTGATACAATTTGAGTTTTATCATTTTTGGATAAATTTGAAAATAATTTCTTTGAGTAATTGGCATTGTCATAATGCAATATTTTACATATAAAAATGTTTCTAATCAATTGGCAAAAAATAAAAACATGTTTAACATGTATTACAAGATTAAACTCTTTTCATCTAGTCAGCAACTTTATTTCTCTGTAAAACAAATGTTTCCAGTCTTCTCCTAAGATCTTCCTCAGGTATTGTTCAAAAATGTAAAAGTCTAAAGAACACAATGTACAGTCGACCCTCTATAATGCAGTAGATATGTTCCACTTTATAAGAATTTTGCGTTGTAGGAATCCTTAAATACATGAACCAATCACAGCTCGACACATGTGCAGTTTATGGACTATGGCTGTTTGAAAGGTTTTCTTCCATAAATTTAATCGATTCTAGACTAATTTGACTCAACATTTCCAAAACACATATAATTTTTTGGGAATAATCTGTATAAACTATGCTATAAACAAAAAATTGTAGGATTACTTACTGAGTGTGCACCATTTGACGATGTCATTGCTTAAGCTTGTTTTCGTCGCGGTGCAGCGCACCAAATGGCAGGTGCGTTTTCTGATAAGTTATTTTTTTGTGAAAAATTTGTTGAACTTTGGAGACATCATTAATAGAAATAATTTTGATGGCTATTGAATAAGAAATGTTTTTTTCACAAGAAATGTATAAAATTACAGTACTGTATTAAACTTACAGTACCTAATTTATATACTGTACAGACGATAGTAAACTCAACTGTAGCGTGTAAGTAGTTCGGCTGCTCGTCCACTATTGGTCCAGATTCGACCAATCCTGTCGCAACACAAGTTGGCGATGATGTTTTACCGCATTTTACGAGTCTCTGTTAGCGTCTTTATATGAATACTGTCACAATTTTTCCGCTGCAATATACGAATTCGCATTATATGAACCTGCATTATAGGGGGTCTACTGTATTTCAAAATTTGAAACCTCCAATCAGATGTGCATAGATGGTTGACATAATTAAATTATAAATATTTATCAAGATGTGCTTGACAAGTGTGAGAGATGCATTTCTCTTCTTTATAATTAATACAGCCTCCAAGTTGTTCTGCTTTAAAGATCTCAAGGGCTTCCAATTCTTTGAGTTGTTCAGTAGAGATGGCACATCTTATTAAAGAGGCCTGATCTAATTTTGCTATGATGTTATTGTCCAACACATGCTTGGATAGGACTGTGGATTTCTTGTAAACTATGTCATATCTGTGTTCCACCATCCATTTTTTTCAGTGATCTTAATAATTATGTCAACCATCTATGTGCATTTGATTGGAAGTTTCGAATTTTGAAACACATTATGTTATTTAGACTTTTCCTATTTGGAATACCTGAAGAAGTTCTTAGGAAAAGATTGAAAAGTTTTGTTTTACAGAGAAATAAAGTTGTTGAACTAAATAAAAGGTACTGTGGTTATATATTTGTTTCATTGTCCAGTTTTGCAAAGTATTTACTCTTACTCTTTTCATCATCAAATAATGTAAAAAATAACACATTTGAACAAAATAATAGATTAACAGTTCAAATATACATTTTTGAATAAAATAGCAGATTAATGGTTCAAATTTATATTAAAATAATCAGACTTATGACAAAATTTTTCTTTAAAAGTTTTTTAAACACTTAAATCAATAGAGAAACTATGTAAGGTTTAAATAATGTAATGTAAATCAACTACTAGCTGTCTTGACCTCCTTACTGCAATTTGTCAATAAGATAGCCCAAATCATTAGTTTTGTCTCTCTTATCCAAACTCAAGTTGAAATTTGTGGCTATTACAAGTTCTTGTGATAACCACTGATTTCATATTACATTTATTTTTTACATTATTTAAACCTTAGATTATTGTCTTCATTTATTTATTTGTTTAAAATGTTTTTAAACAAAAACTTTATGTATTTTTATTATTTTAACTGTAACATATCATCTAATTGAAATGATTTATTTAAAATTTGCTTCTAGGCATTGACAAGTATGAAATTTATTCATCCAACACCTATTCAAGCTGCTACCATACCTGTTGCATTAATGGGAAGAGACATTTATGGATGTGCTGCTACAGGAACAGGTAAAATTCATTAATATATAATTAATTTATATAAATAGATTAATAAGAAAACTAATAGCAATAATTCTATAATATAAGTAATTGGCTTATTGTAATTACTTTCCTATACTGATAATATTAAATGATGTAATTAAGTAAGACTATATTTACAAAATACTCACTTCATGCATCACAAACAAAATATACCATCATATAAAACAATACAACATTTTCACAGAACAATAAAAAGGCTATCATAGGAACCATATGGGATATAAAGAACAGTTTCTCATGGATTCAATCATTCTGTCCACAAGTTTCCAGAGAAGATTCATTTTCCCATTCTGTGGTGCCACTGTTGCATTGCCATTAAGATACTGAAAGAACTACGGAACAGCAGAACTATAGAATTGAGAATATAATTGATTTTGAAATGACTAATAGAAATTCATTTATAAGCCCACTTTGTTAATAATTGNTAAAAAATTTTAAAATATATATATAAAACAGAAAAGATAAAAAAATAACTTAAAAATAACTTAACACTAATAAAAAAAATTAGTGTTAAGTTATTTTTAAGTTATTGTTACATTATGTTGTGTAAGTTAAGTTTTAGTATTATTTTCCTCCTCCCTCTCCTTCGCCACCAGTTTACACCTCCACTGTCGTCTATCCTCAAAGGTAAAGTGCAAATAAAACTACATTTTTTTATCAATTATTATTCTGTTATGGTTATTTACAACTATAACTACATTTACAACTACAAAATGCATTTTTCAGTGTTTTCCTTATTAAAGTTTTTTTTCAATGTACTATCAATACTTAGCTTTAATTTGAGTGTGTTTTTTGTGTTGGAATGGATTATTTGGTTTTACATGTAATCATATGGGGAAAAATGATTCACCTTATGGCATTTTCATGATACGATCTCAGTTTCAGAACGGATTAATTTCATATCCTGAGGTATTACTGTAATTTTTTCTTCTTCTACATGAAAAATTTAATGATATTCTTGGAAAGAAAAAAATTATCATTATTTTTCTTAATGTTGTCCATTCTTAGGTCAAAATTTACAACTGTTGCTATAAAATATTTTTTAAATTTTGTTTTTCCTTCCCTTAATGACTATAATTGTTTTTTTATTGTTTTAGTATAAAAATTCATTTTATATGAAGTGGCATAATTTGATATAAACAATTTTTCATATTATGGCATATTATATTAAAAATAATCATATTATTTAAATAATTCTTGAATTTGAATTAATATATTGACCAACAAATGAAAAATATATTTACCAATGAAACAATATAAGAGTTTAAAATTACATTTGGCTGATGGTATTTACATAGAAATATAAAAATATATTAATAACACAAATGTCTTCCTGTATGTCATGTTGATCACCAGCAAATATTTAAAAACAGTCTCTGCAAGTTTTTGGGTAATCACTGACAATCGAAATAATGGACAGGAAGACATTTGTGTCATTAAATTAATATATTTTTATATTTATAAAAATGAGAGTTATTGTGTTGAACTTCATAATAATGTTAATTAAATAAATAGAAATCATGCCAACAGATTCAGCTATACATAACACCCTCATGAATAATAATTATTATATTTAAGATGATGAATTATGATTAATTTTTAGCCAACAAAGTATACTGGGAACAAACAAAATTAGAAACTTATATATGGAAAGAACATAAGAGAAAAATAGATGAATTTAAATATAAAATATATTATTCTGAGTTGATTAAAGTATTAAAATTGAATATCTAGCTACAAAGGGGAAAATATTACATATAAAGGTCTTTGTTGGTAAAAGGTATAACATTACATATCTAGTTATAATAAACCATAAATATTAAAATTATTGCAAATCTTATCATATTACAAAATAAATGGCAGCACATCTATTGTATTAATAAATAAAAAATATGCATTAAAATTTTGAATCAAATTATAGTAAAATAATTTATATGAATAGTTATTTTTGTTTTATTATTTAAATTAATATTTTATATATTTTAATTAGTTTCCAGTTGCAGAGGAAGCTTATTTCTATAATAAAAATTTATACAATACATTGATTGATCAATATTTAACCTAGATTGTTTATTTTTAGTCAGAATCTGAAGATATAGTAGGTGATTCAATTTTTTATGATGAATCAAGCAGTTTTCAACAAATGAATCTCTCCCGTCCGTTACAAAAGGTAAATCTACAACAATTTAGATTTAATAGTAATTTTATTATACAGAATTAACAGCACAACTGTCTAACAGTTGTGTCATTAAATTAATATATTTTTATATTTATAAAAATGAGAGTTATTGTGTTGAACNTAGTGCGCATGACCGGAAAAAGTTTATTTCTAATGATTCAGAATGTGCAAATATTTATTAAAATAACAACTTAACAAATATGAAATAATAACATTTATAATCATTGCTAAGTGAATAGCATTTCATTAATGATTTTATAAATAACGAAGAACTATTTTCTGCGGACGAATGAGATGCAATACGATTTTTAATTGATGGACATGGGCTTAAACCAATAAACAAAGAGAGGTGTGTCTTAGTTTGTTTACAGTAGCTGCCAAGTTAGGATAAATAGACTATAGTTTAGTATTTAGAAATTGTACATTTCTTTTACTTCTTTACCTCGTTTAGTAAGAAATGCTAAAATAACTGAATATTGGAATGCTCCAGCATACGAAATTTTCAGGATACAACATGAAATTTGAACATAATTTTGCTCCATGGTACAAACAAAAACTCACCAAATGACATTACATTAGTTTGCAGCGCCATTTTTTATTCACTTCTGTTCATTGGTCTCAATCTGCGTGTTTGCTTCATTGTGGAAGGATCTTGCTCGATAAAGGAAATCTTGAAATATTATCAGAAAGTGACTGATTTTATTGAAAAGAAACATCCCAAAAAGGTTCACACTGGCCATATTGCTGCTCAGAGTAATGACATTTGCCTAAGTCATTTTAGAAACATTTTAAAAAGTAGGCAAAGTCAAACCTCTTTGGATAGATATTTTACCAAGCGACCTTTCCAGTGAAAGTGCTGGTGGAAGTGAAGGAAAGAAAGCAAAAAGCAGTGAATAAAAAATTTTAAAATATATATCTATTGAATATTAGCTAAGAATTTACAGTCTATAAATAAGTAAACAGTGGACTGCAAAGGGAAGTGTGAATAACAAAGAAACGTGTTACGTAGCAAAGTTATATAACAAAATTTTATCAGACTCATCAACATTAAAAAATTTTAAAATAGTGAAAAATTTGTATGCTTCCTAGAGAAGACAGTCTTTGTGTATTTAAACTGTTTACTTCACAGTTATGCAATAAAAATTAATCCAGTATCTAACCTAAATAAATAATCTAGTTTTAAAAATATGTTAAATTACAGAAAATTTATTAACGTTACGCTTCCATAAACGTGTAAAAATGACAACAAATGTGTCATATTCATAAACATAATTCTCATAAATATGTATTATTATTATTTTTTATTTATCTTAGCTATTACTTTTTCGAGTATATTCTTAATGTTTTTTAACTAATAAGAATTTAATTTTATTATTTATAATCAAACAAAACTGTAATTTTGGTAAAGTATTCGGCAACTACTCGATTTTCTCCTATTTTTGAATAATTAAAGAAGAAAAGATGGTTGCACTTCCTAAACCACTTAGGAAGATTAATTTATAAATTATATTGATTTAAATTTTGTAATATTTGTATAATTTTTATTTGGATACTTAATTTAAATTATAAATTCAAATTAAATAAATAAAATAAATTCCATTTTCGTATTGAATTAAAAATTTATATAAGTTTAAATTGTATGTTAATTAACTTATATTTTAATGGTACATAACCGAAATTAAAAGTAAATATGTTAAAAATTGAAGTCTTATCATTTTATAAATTCACTTCTTATAAGAAATAACTTTATACTCTTGAATAATTTATGTTTTTGCTGTTATAATGTTCCTAATGAGAAAAAATAAATCATGAAATTATATTTTATATCAGTTTAAAATGTAAAATTTAATATAACATATTAACTGCATGCAATAAACAAGTTATGATGTTTATATTTTGATATTTTTCTTAAAGTAATGAATATAAATATTGTAATAGTTCAAAAAAGAAGAAAGCAAACGTAATTAATCTACAGTTTTAGTGCCGAAGTTTCTAAAAAGAAATTGAGGAAATTAAGATATTAAAAAAGGAAACCAAACAGTAATGATGAAGCAATAAGTGTATCACAAGATTAGATTTTTATATTTTCTTGAGAATGATATAGAAAATTTCTGCTTATCACACCAAATTAGACAAAAAAAAAAAAAAAAAGTTTT